ATTAAGCAACCCCTTAACAACAACAACAATGGAGAATAAGCAGTAAAAACCAGGTCTGTTTGAACCACAAGCTCGGTGATTCAAACTCACCAGAGGCTCCTGGGAATCCTGTTCAGGGTCGCTGTGGTTCAGAAATTACGTGACAACATTTAACAATAATAACAACAATGTAGGACAGCCCTAAACTGTGAACTGCAAAGTTGGCAGTTCAAACTCACAAGCTGCTCCTTGGAAACCCTATACAGAGTCATTATGAGTCAGAACCAACTAGCCAGCACAATAACAATTCCCATTAAGAAATCCTGGTATGATAGTGTAGGGTAAGCATTGGATTGTTAGCCACAAAGCCAGCAGTTAAACCCACCAGCTGCTCCACAAAACACTATACATGGTCACTATGAGTCAGACCTGACCAGACAGCACTTAACAACAACAACACTTTCCATTTAACAAAAGGTTAAATTGCATGTATGAATGGAAGATATACCCTATTCATGGATAAGAATACTTAATAGTGCTAAGAACAATTTTCCCAAAGTCTAACAACTGTTGTCGTTGAGTCCGTTTCCACTCATCGTGATCCTATGCACAACAGAACACTACTAACTAGTCCTGTGCCATTCTCACACCGTTTTTTTATGTTTCAGTCCATTATTGGTGTCATTGTGCCAATCCGTTCTGTTGAGGTCTTCCATTGTTTCACTGACTCTCCACTGTACCAAGCATGAAGTCCTTTTCCAGAGAATGAGCCTTCCTGATAAAGTACAAGAGAGGAAATCTTACCATTGCCACTTCTAAGGAGCAATCGGATCATGCTTCTTCGGAAACAGATTAGTTTGTTCTTCTGGAAGTCCATGATACTTTCAGTATTCCTCACTAACAAAATAATTCAAATGCTTTATTCTTCTCTAATCTTATTCACTGCCCAAATTTCACATGCATACGAGGCAACTGAAAATAACATGGCTTGGTTCAGGGGTATGTTAGTCTTCAAAGTAACCTCTTTGCTCTTTAACACTCAAAATAGGTCTTTAGCAGCAGATTGGCTTAATGCATTCTGTCCTTTGATTTCTTGACTGTTGCTTCCATGAGTGGTAAGTACCATCGAGTCCATCCCAACCCGCAGCGACCCTGTATAGGGTTTCCAAAGAGCAGCTGGTGAGCTTGAACTGCAGACCTTGAAGCTCAAATTGACTTTGCAGTCTAGTGTATTAACCCACAGCACCGTACCTGGATAGAATCACTGAAATCTCAAATCAAAAATCCCAGAAAGCAGAGACATTTCCTTGGAGTAAAAAAGAAGTTTTTAAACAAGGTGCTGAAACAATTAGATAAAATTTTTCAAGAAAAAAAAAAAATTGAACTTGAATATGGTACCATATATAAAAATGAACTCAGTTTGATACAAAAAGGAGAAAAAAAAAATTGTAAATTAGATTTCCTTAAAATTAAGAATTTGTACTCTTCAAGTTCATAATATACACCAATCAATGTTCATTGCAGCACTCTTCACAATAGCTAAATGTGGAAACAACCTAAATGCCTATCAACAGATGAATGGATAAACAAAATGTGTTCATACATACATACTATGGAGAATGAAGTCTTGATACATGTTACAGTATGGGTGGAGCTTGAAAATAGTATGCTGGATGAAATAAGTCAATTACAAAAGGGCAACTATTATAAGACCTGGAGCATTATATAAAGACAAGAAAAGGCAAATGTGTAGACACCAAAGTTTATTAGTGGTTACAAGGGACAGGAAGAAGGGAGAAGCCACCACTCATCTGCCAGTTTGTCATACTGTGGTGACTTTCATGTTGCTGTAATGCTGGAAGCTATGCCACTGGTATTTTATTTTAAATACCAGCAAGGTTACCCATGGTGGACAAGTTTCAGCTGAGCTTGAAGACTAAGCCACACTAGGAAGACCAAAGTTTTTTAAAGGGACAGGAGGGAGGGAGAAAAGGAGATGGGTTATTCTTATTGCTTACTGAGTTTGTTTATGGTGATGGAAATTTTTCACTAAAGATAAGTTGCACAATTGTGAGGTTGGCCCGGGATCAGGCAGTGTTTCTTTCTGTTGTGCATGCTACACTATGGTTGGAGTTGGAAAATATGCTGAATTATATCAATTAGTAACAAAAGGACAAATAGTATAAGATCTCACGTATCTGTATCTAAGCAGAGCTACTCCAGGGGCTTGTCAAGGTTATAACCTTTCGGAAGCAGGTCTCCAGATCTGTCTTCAGAGACATCTCTAGGTGGGTTCCAATCACACAGCCACTCATTTAGAAGTTGAGTGCTTGTTAGTACCAGCGTTAGTTATTGGTTCATGGACCAGCCTAGTTAATTGACCTAATAACATGTCCTGTGCTCTGTTCAACCTCTTAGCTTGAATGTGTAGTGCCTGAGATCTTACAAAGCTTGCAAACGGACATCCAACAGAGAAAGGAGAGTCAGGAATAGGAGGAAATGGAATGTATGTCTAATTGTTTCCATGAACAACTGCCACCTTTGCCATGAGACCAGGTGAACTGGCTGGTGCACGTGGATCATTACTGAAGATATTCATCAAGGAGTCTATATAGGAATTCTGATTCAAAGGGGGGAAAAGACAGTGGAACTACAATTCCCTGCTGTCTTCTTGAGATTACTGGGATGACCTCTAACACTTGGGACTCAGTTAAGACTTTCTGTTCTTTGTAAAACACACTTTTACAAAATGTATAGTGGAGAAGTGCAGAGGAGCAGGAATAAGAAAAGATGAAGGCAGCGAAGAGAGATTTCTTTGTAACAATCAAGATGTGAGTTGTTGTTGTTAAGTGCCATCTAGTCGGTTCCGACCCATAGCGACCCCGTACAGGGTTTCCGAGGCTGTAAATCTTTACGGGAGCAGAAAGCCTCATCTTTCTCCCACGGAGCGGCTGGTAATTTCGAACTGCTGACCTTGCGGTTCGCAGCCCGATTCGTAACCACTATGCTACCAGTACACATTCATTAAAACATGAAAATGATTGCTAAGAAGAAATGTGTTTTAGCTTTACGGAGATTTTTGTTTGTTTTATGGGGGGGGGGGGAATCCCCAAAAAGACCTTAAAAAAAAGACTGAAGAAAATAGAATTAATTCCAATTTGAAGGACTTTACTTAATGAGTCAGAATCAAGTCAATGCCAATTATCAACTATGGAGGTGATTCTTAGAAGTATTCATTCTTCTGTAAAATTTTAACATAGAATCCAAATGATGGGAGAATTGCTGAGTTCATGGCTATATTCCAAATGCCTAGAACAGCATTGGCACCTCATATTCTTTCATTTAAAATGCCTTTGATGACTCCAAATTCTCTGTGAGCTTCTTCTCCAGTTTAAAAATAGTTAGGTTCCAAACTGCATAATCTACCATTGCATTTTCACCTTGCTTTTAATGGTCATCTAAGAGTTTCATGTATATACTTGTGCTCTTTCTCAGTATAAAATGACCACCCCAAGATGATATATTTCATTCATTACAGTGAGGGAAGTGGCCTCTGAGATTGGATTGCTACGCGTTTGGATTGCTTTAAACTACAAAGTAATAGCTGTGAGATGCTGGGCAAATAACTACTCTGGGTCTCCATTTTATCATCTGTGAAATGCAAGTAATGATGAGACATAGCAGACTGGGAAGTTATGGCGATTAAGGGACACAATGTGTAAGGGATTCACAAATGTCTGGCAGAAAACAAGCAATCAATGCATGCAAGCTATTATTTTTGCTTAAACAAATACTCTTCATGAGTTGATGCTTTTTTTGACTGAAATCACTTGGTGGAGAATAGATGAGACGTTCTTTGGGAAGGTTGAAGGCAAATACATAGACTGAGAAGAAATGAAGTATCATTTTACTGACGCTGGCTCTTAAGGCAAAATGCAGAGGGAAAGACGTGGCCGCCTAAATTTTATGAAAGGAAGGACTAGGCATTTTCATATACAAAACTCTAGCATCTTGTCCCAGTGCTTGACACATAGAAGGTACTCAATTATAAGTGCAGAATTAATTCATAAACAAATGGCTTATATTAAAAAACAAAACAACAACAACAAAAAACTCTGCTTCTGCTTTCAGAGGTGAGAGGTCGCTGGCTGGAAACAAATCCCTTCCCCAAATGTAGAAAGCAGATCACTCAAGGTTCTGAACCCTAGGAAGAGTGAATATGTTCACCTTTGACAAACCGCATTCTTTTCTCTCCTCTCAGAATAATCCTTTCCATGTGGTCCACTTTCAAGATTAAGTAGGCAAACACCCGCATTAAGTTCCCCAAATTCTATCTTCTTATTCCTTTCATGTCCTGAGTCTCAATGTCTTTCCTGCTAAGGTTCTTCCTCTTTCCCTCAGATTCCTGGATTTATTTCATATGGGTTTAGATTTAAAATGTGCTGGCCACCTGGAGTCCTTGGCAGTTGGCTCAGAGAATAGATCTCTCAGCCACACCTCCTTCTTAAAGAGTAGTCTAGTCTGCCGGCGGTTCCTTTTTGGAATCACTGGAGGCGGCAGGACCTATGAAGCAGTTTTGGCTAATGCAGTCGGCCTAGCCCCGGAAGCTCAGAGAGATACTGCTTGTCAGTCTGCACCCATTTCTCCTGCCCTCCCACTCTCCAAAAAGACCCTTGGGACTCCTGTTGGATTCAGTTCAAGAGTCCTGGGAACGCTGCAGTGTAACTCTAGTCCCAACCTCCGCACGGATGAGCCTGGAGGCCAGAACGCCGGGGGAAGACTCACTAGACCAACTCTGTACTAATGGATGATACTCTCCTAACCCTTGTCCCCTACACTTAACCATCTTTTAGGCAGGGTATTAGACCGAGAATTAGACTGAAAGGAATTCTAAACACCAAAAATTAGAAGTGCAAGCACCCTCGGCGAGTTCTGTGTTTGTTGTGTGTGTCCATCCGCGCTTGTGCAAAATCTCCCAACGTCAGTTTGTAAGCCGCATCAGCTCGCCTAGAAATCCGAGGTCTTTCCAGGGATCCCCTACCCTGCCCTCCTCTGCTTCAGTACCTACAAAGAGGTAGGTCTGTGGCTTTTGCAAACCGCTGCAGCAGCGAGAGAGGCAACAAAAATCTGCAATGTTTCCTTCTCCCTAAAGCTCCCAGTCATCTTCTCAGGCGAATAGTCCTGAGCGCAGGGTTGCCTTCCAATTCCCCTTTGCGAGCGGCTGACCTGGTGCAAGTCCTTCTTCCTAGGTCTCAGCCAGCCCACCACGCACCGAGCCCTTCCGCGGACCCCCGCCTGGGCCTGGGTGGTGCTTGCGCCGCCCCCACTTTCCCCGAGGGCTCTGGAGAACCGCGCGCTGGGCTAGTGTGTGTGCGCGCGCGGGTTTGGTGGGGAAGTCTCCTTCAGTGCAAGCAGCTGAGAGTCGCTCGCGGAGAGTATCCAGGAGTCTGGCAAAGACCTTCAAAGCACCAGAGCCTCCCGAGAGGAATAAACCCTAATACAAGCGAGGAAAGAAGGGAAAGGGCCATTCCCCCAAAGGCTGGGTTTCCAATAGTCCCGGATCCTCCTGGAGCTGGGCGGAGGTGCAGTTGGCAGCGGCCACTGCTGGCGCCGGACTTGGAAAGACGTTTTTTCCCTTTTCGGGAGGAGGGAGGTGAGGGACTTGCAAGCGGAGAGAGTTTCACCTGCTCTAGGAGCCTGCAGAGAGGAGAACTCGGGGGTAAGTCGTGTTCTGGCACTGGAGCGGAAAGGGGGAAGAAAGGGGGGGGGTGCCGGAGAGGGACTAGAGAGGGAAAGGGCAGGGATTGAATTATACTGGGGGGGGGGGCGGGGAGGGAGACATCCCAATATTACGCAGCGGAGAGAGCGCGCAGCACCGCATCCCCAGCTGAGTCCTGCCCGGGTCTCCCGCGCCGAATCAGCGGGCACGAAGTTCTTTCTCCGGAGACGAAAAACTCGAGGATCCGGGAGGGTGGTCGAGTCTGCCGCCCGGGGCCAGGACCGAGGCAGCGGCTCGGATCTCTGCCGCCCAGCCAGCTGCTACTTATGGCCTGGTTCAGCTTCACCTCCCCGCCCTGGCCTCCTGCCTCCGCCCCCTGGGCGTCGGCGGCGGGGCTGACGTTAGGCCCCCGGCGGCGGCTGCGGGGACGCTCACCTGGCCGAGCCGCCCCCTCCTCCCCCTCCCACCCCCACCTGTCTTCCTCCTCCTCTCCGAGTCGGGCAGCGTCGGGATCCGTAGGCGAGGAAATAACGACCCCTGCAGTTGCATTGCGGAAAATCGCGGCGGCGGCGGTGTTAGTTGCGGGCGGTGGAAGCGAGGCAACTGGGGGTGCCGGGAGACCTGGAAAATAGCCTTGGAGCGAAGAGAGAGAGTGCGCGCGACGTGGGGAGCCTGCGGGCCCCCGACGCTCGCCAGTGCCTGGCACCCCGCCGTTCCCGCTCCTGGTCCCAGGCGAGCGGCCCCAACTGGGCTCGGGAGGCGGCGGGCAGCGCGCGGACTCAAGGAGCTGGGAGGGTCGGCGGAGCTGCTGGCGGCCGGCGGGGTCGGGCAATAATCCCTGCTTGTCTTTCTCTCTCTCTGTCTCCCTGTCTGCTGTGTCTGCTCCTCCTCCCCGCCCCCCGGAAGCAGGAGGAAACGGCCCGGGAGCGGAGCAGCCACCCTGTGACCATGCCCCGGTGAAGGGGGCGGACTTCGAAGGCAACTTGGCACCTACTGCCTGGGCTTGGCCAGCGGCGAGCTGCCGGGGGCCCGGAATTGCACGGCCCGGCCCGGCCCGGCGGGGGGCTATCGTCTATGTCTTCTTGGGACGCCAGGCGGATCGGGGTCTCGATTGCGCAGGAAGAGCCCAGCGCTGGTGGCTTCAGGTGGCTGCCACCGCCGCTAGTGCTGTCTTCACCGCTCGTTGGAGGAGCAGAGACGGGCGAGCGGGGAGACCTCCAGGGCAACGAGGCATCGGACATGTGTCAGCACATCTGGGGCGCACATCCGTCGAGCCCGAGGGGAGATTTGCTGGAACAATTCAAACTGCGATATTGATCTTGGGGGTGACTGTCTCTGGCCGGCTGTCGGGTGGGGAGTGCGTGTGTGCGCTCGGAGTGTGTCCGTGTGTGTGTATGTGTGTGTGCTGTGTCGGGCTTCCCCCTTCCCCCCGCCTGTTTTCCCGTCGAGTGATGCACTTGGAATGAGAATCGGAGGATGGAAATAGTTTGGGAGGTGCTTTTTCTTCTTCAAGCCAATTTCATCGTCTGCATATCAGGTACGGGACGCGCTGGAGTCGCGAGCGGGTTTGGGTTGGGCTGTGCTGTTTCCAATGTACGGGGGTTTTATTGTGTAAGACACTCGAGTAGCCTCGTGGAGTGGGAGGAGAAGGGAGGTGGCAGATCTCTCCGGTGGGGTTGCCGCCTTCAGAATTAAAAACCTTCTGAGCCCAAGATTGTCTGTGTGTGTGTGTATGTGTATGTGTGTGCGTTGGGAGGTAGGATCGGTGTGGAGTTCAGCGAGGGAGAAGGGATGAGGATGAAACAGAAGAGGCAGATGGGTGTTGATTTTCAACTGCTTTCCTGGCTGAGAACTCTGGCGCCGAAATATGAGCCTTGGCAACCCCCACCCTCATCCCCTGGCTTTCAAAGTTCCCAAACTCGGTGGTTCCCTGCTGGCAAAATGGACGCAGAGCCCTGGCCTGGTATCTGGGCACTTGCGAAAGGATGCGGGAGGATGCGGGATTGGAGAGTACCAGCGGGGACCAGTGATGTGGTCTCTCCACGCCTTCCGCACACACATCAGGACGCTTATGAGGTCTGGAACCTGGTAGCATGGCCCTTTTACCCTAAATAAAAGAACTACCCATCAGAAACAACACTGCCATAAATACCACTTTAGATCATGGTATTTATTAATTCCCAGAGGCGAGGATATGCAGGCGCAGATTCACAGATCTCGGGCTACTTTTGCTAGAATGAGGTGAATGAGATAGGAATTGTGCCCTATCTGTGCTTGGGAGTGTGTGTTGGAAGGATTTGGATTCAGGACTGTGTCTTATTTGGTGCAGAAAGTTGTGTGTGTGGTGGTGGTGGTGGTGGGGGCAGGATGGGTCATGGTGCAGCCAGGGGAAACCCCGGACCAGCAGTATTTTCCTCAGTTCAGTTTAGTGGACAGCCCCCCGCCCCCCATGAACAACGCCCACCCCACTATTCTTCCCACTGCTCTCTCAGCACTCAGGGTAAAGCTTGTTTGCGGTGTTTTCCTCTGCCTGTAACCCCTCTGCAGAATTGGGGACTCAGCCAACTTCTCATGAAGTCACTAGAAGGGAGCAGCGTCTGTACCTCTTTGGAGCAGGCACGTTTGAAAGGCAGCATTAGAGTGGAGGGACATGGTTCTTGTCTCTACAGCTTGGCCAAGCCCCACCCCCTAAGCCCGCCCAATTCTGCCTATGAAAAACCGGTGCCCCACACTCACCCTCCACCCAGCCCCATATACCACTGTTTTGGCGCTGTAGCATCAGCACTGGACTGTGAACCACAAAGTCAGCAGTTCAGACCCACCAGCTGCTCCTCGGAAACCCTATACAGGATCCGTATGAGTCGGAAGCGACTCTACATCTTTTAACAACTCGAAGTCTCTAACAACAGAAAGGGGAATCTGTTATCTGAAATGGTCTCTTTGGGCAGGGACTTGGTCACACTGTGAAGAAATTTGCTTCATGCAATATTTTAATGAGATATGCTGTGAGAATCTGCAGAGAGAAACAGTGCCTGGGCATCACTTCAACTCATCAAAAGGGTGCCCCTTGCGCCTCCCCCCCCTTTCTTGTATTTAAAAGAGAAAATTCTCAGGTGATTTATAAAGGTTTACATCAGCCACACATCCAAGATGTACTTGGTGGCGTCTCATTTTGACATCTTTCTAGTCTAGGTGTCTATTCCAAACTCAATCTATTCTTGTTTCAGAATATTTCAGTAGTTATAAGATAGCCTTTCCCTACCACTCTCTACCATCTCAAACATTAACAAGAAACAGCAGACACAGCCATCCAAGCCATTTAAAGATTTACAAAGAGTTAGCACCCAGTGAGGCTCTGGATCCTCCTCCCCGTCCTCCCCAGCATCTTCTTACCCTCAGCCCTACCCTGCATTCAGTCAGGCAACCACATGGGGAACAAGCTGAGAAAAGGTCTGTTCTTAGCCTCTAAGAGAGGCCTTCCTGGACTACCTGCCACAGCTATATTTGATTTGGTGTATCAGCAACTCAATTATACAGCTAGAAGCATTTGAGAGGGTTACTTCCAGCTGAGGGAGGGGTGCTATCGACAATGTGGCCTTTTCTCCTGTATTCACCGAATTATCATCATTGCTATGTAATGAGGGGATAAGAGTGCAAGCAAAATTACCAGCTATTTGCTAAACACAGAAAACTAGACAAACGTTCCAAATGCCTAGATGTTGTTGTTGTTAAGTGCCATCGAGTCGGGTCCGACACATAGCGACCCTGTACAGGGTTTCCGAGGGTGTAAATCTTTACGGGAGTAGAAAGCCTCATCTTTCTCCCGCGGAGCGGCTGGTAGTTTCGAACCGCTGACCTTAAGGTTCGCAGCCCGATTCGTAACCACTACGCTACCAGAGCTCCTTAAATGCCTAGATAGGAGCTGCTTTAATTTGCACTTTATGAAGACATTTCAGGCAGAGATGCAGCATTATGTACTCTATATTTACACACTCATAGTCAAGATGCCTTCTTCTCCTTCCATAAGCAGAACTATTCATTCAGTTCTGCCAGTGTCTGTCAGAATTATGATTATAATATAATTATGACTCACGGTTGCCACAGTTTGGGGGACTCAGACTCCTCCTTTTTTCCCATCTGGCAGCCTTCAGAGATGGGGCTGCAGGGCTCTTGGATTGAGTCAGCGTGGCTCAGGGAGTTTAGTGGGCCTTTCTCTTCTGTAGTTTCCATGATTTGCTGTTTTAATTTACTCACAACTGCGCTTTACCCAAAGGAACATAACCTTGTGTTCATAGACCTTAGTAAATCTTTAAAGAAAAAAGAAAGGAAGGAAGGAAAAGGTAAAACAAAACACCTCTCTATCATCCTGGTATGAAGAGTCCTACCCAATAAATGAGTGCCATATGTCCTGGGTGGCCAGGTATCAATGATGGGTGCCTTGAGAGAGTTGCATTCATCACTGAGAGACAACACCAGGCTAAATCAAAAAAGGTCAGCAAAAGTCTGGAGTGTAAAGCTATTGCAGAAGGAAACAATTAATAGTAGTTTTGGTCCATGGTAGGGATGGCCACTGAACTTCACTGGTGACATTTGCTTTCAGAAACACCCTAGTGCTTTGTGGCTTAGTGTTTGCAAACTAGAGTTCCCTTCCTACACCATGCCCCCCCACCCACACACATGGAAAGAATACCTAAGGAGTTTTCTCCAGGGACTTGTTTGAATGCCTTGTGTAAATACAGAGACCTGAACTTGGTGTATTTGATGACTCTGCACTAATAATGTGGTTGTGATGAAGCTGGCAGCCAGTGGTACTGGGGGATCTGCTCAGCATGTGAGTAACATGCTTATCTTGAGAGATCACATCAATTTTGGCTACTTCATGGCAACAGAGCTAAGCTAAAGAGGGGAGGCCATGACCTGAGAGTTCTCTGGCTCTATATTAAACTCAGATGTCGTTTTACTGAAAATGCACAGCACCCAGGATCTGTGAAGGGACCAGAGAGAGAGAGAGAGAGAGAGAGAGAGAAAATGCAGGGTGCGTCAGGATGTTTTTTCTCTGTGCTAGCAAGAACACCATTCTCTTTCCACAAAAGCTGTTCACATCAGCAAGAACGAATGCTTCACAGCGCGAGGAGAGATTTCCTGGCCCAAAGACAGATACCTGATTTAATTTACACAATTTCCCCTTTATGTAGCTTTTCTTCCTTGTCAGTTTATTCATAATGACAGCAGCTATAACAGTTTAGATTATGTGTGGGTTTCATATATTTTGCATCAGATTGCACATATTTTAATCTTATGTTTGCATGCTAATGCACATGTTTGTTCTTAGCATTTGTGGGTTATGTTTTTAAATGTTGTTGTTGGTAAGTGTTGCTAAGTCGGTTCCTACTCATAATGACCCTGTATAGAATTTCCAAGGAGCAGTTGGTGGGTTTGAACCACCGATCTTGTGTTCAGCAGTCATGTGCTTATTCTACAGTGCCGCACCTGGACTTCCAAAACTCACAGGTCAAAATTCAGAATGTCATTTTTCATGCTTTAAATGTTTTCATTCAATTATTATTATTATTTTTCCCGTACTCTGATTTCTCCAAATGAAGAATCCATTCTGTTAAGTGTCTATGAGCCTTAGAGGAGGGGTTGGATGAAGAAGTTTAGAATGACTCTGTAGTTTAAAGTTAGAATTCAGGTTGGCTTTTGGATTGTAGATGATTTTGCCAATCTAACGGATGAAACTCTAATTCAAGTTTGCCCCCAATATCCTGTGACCTGCAATCCCTGCAACCGAAGAATGTTTCATATGTTATTTTCCTCACCTAAAGATTGTGCTGTCAAGTTGGTTCTGACTCATAGTGAACCGGTATAGGATTTCCAAGGAGTGGCTGGTGGGTTTGAACCCACAACCTTGAAGTTAGATTGCAGTTAGCAGTCCAGTGCTTATCCTACAGTGCCACACCAGGTTTCAATTGGTAAAATAGTACATGAGCCACAAGTCTGTGAAATGGATGAAATGAGATAATGTGTCTTATGCATTTCACTTAGCACAATTTGGCTTGTAATAAGCTTGCAATAATAGCATTATCTTATGGCCCCTAAAGATCTAACTCTAGGTTTGTGAGTTTGCTTCTAAACCTGTAGGTAGAGTTGAGTCTTGACCTTCTTTCCCAGTTACCTTGGTTAAAAGCAAAATTCACAGCAAAGGATCATCAGTGGGTACATTTTAACAACATGGAGCTCAAATCCCACTGCCAAGGAGATCTTGGTGAAACAATTTTGAAAATGTCTCATAATTTTCTTTCTCATGCAAATGAGACAGGTGGCATTAGGCGTGGGTGCAGCCATGAGTGTAACCCACTTTATCCCCGGGAGCTTGCTGTTGGAATGAGGCTTGTAAGTTTCATAAATCATCTGGGAACAAAGTATTGCCTACTATCAAGAGCTACAGATTTTTTCTTCTTTCTGCTTATATATTATAACTCAGTGTGGACCCAAAATGAAACTGCTTCCAAAATTACAAACTGTAATGCTGTCAAA